TGCTTTGCACCATTTATGATCGTTTCACCACTCTAATAATGTGAATTTACTATTCCAGGAATGCAGGAAGAGGAGGTAAAGGAGAATTATGGAGGAGATGAATTCAACTATGATATATTATAAGAACTTTTATAAATGTCATAGTGTACCCCCAGTACAACAATAATATGATACTAAAAAAACTTCCAAAAAATTTCAGTTTATAACTGAACTTACAGATGGTTGAACAAACTACTGCATTTTGATCTCTGCATATTTCTAGCACTTCTCTATATCTCTAAAAAATAAAGTACCTAGGAATAAATTTAACTAAGGAAGTGAAACACCTCTATAATGATAACTGTAAAACATTGAAGAAAGAAATCGAAGACACTCAAGATGGAAAGACCTCCCATGTTCATGGATCGGCAGAATCAATGTTGTGAAGATGGCTATCCCACCAAAAGCAATCTATGTATTCGGTGCAATCCCCATCAGAATTCCAGTGACATTATTCACAAAGATAGAAGAATAAATCCTAAAATTCATATGGAAGCACAAAAGATCTTGAAAAGGCAATGGAGCAAAAAGAGCAATTTTGGAGGTATCACCAGTACCTGACTTCATACAACACTACCGAGCTATAGTAACAAAAACAGCATGGTGCTGGCACAGAAACAGACATGTAAACCAATGGAATAGGATAGAAGATCCAGAAAGAAGTCCACACAGTTGCAGCCATCTGATTTTTGACAAAGGTGCCTAAAGCATGTGTTGGAGAAAAGACAGCCTCTTGGACAAGTGGTATTGGGAAAACTGAATATTCCATGTAGAATACTAAAACTAGATCTCTTTCACCCTGTATTAAATCAATTCAAAGTAGATTAAAGACCTTAATGTAAGACCTGAAACTTTAAAACTACTGTAGGAAGACAGGGAAAACACTGGAATATATAGGCACAGACAACAACTTCCTAAATAGAACTCCAACTATAGCTCAGCAAATAAAGACTGACAAATGGGATTGCAAACTAAAAAGCTTCTGCACAGCAAAAGAAACAGTAAGTAGGATTAAGAGACAGCCTACAGAATGGAGGAAATCTTTGCCAGCTATTCATCTGACAGGTCATTAATAACCACCATATACAAGAAGCTCAAAAAACTAAACCCCAAAGAATCAATGACCCAATTAATAAATGGGCAAAAGAATTGAATAGGCATTTAAAAAGTACAAATGGACAATAACTAGATGAAGACATGTTCTACATCCCTGGCCATAAAGGAAAAACAAATCAAAACAACCCTGAGGTTTCATCTCACCTGAGTCAAAATGGGTAAGAACACAATAACAAAGTCTGACAAGGATGTAGGGAAAAGATACTCTTAGGCACTGATGATGAGACTATAAATTACTGCAAGCAATATGGAAATCAGTATGGATATTCCTCAAAAACATAAAAGTAGAACTACTGTATGGTCTAGAGATACCACATACCTGAAAGAATGTAAGTCAGGATGAAATAGAGACCCTCACACATCCATGTTTATTATATCAGGATTCAAGTAGCCAAGCTGTGGAATCAGCATGGATGCCCATAAACTAATGAATGGACAAAGAAAACGTGGTATATAAACACGATGGAGTATTATTCAACCATAAAGAAGAATGAACTTATGTCGTTTGCAGGAAAATGGATGGAAGCAGAGATTGTCATGTTAAGCAAAATAAGCCAGTATCAAAAAGACAAAGGTCATATGTTTTCTCTTTCATATGTGGAATCTAGGCCTAAAATATATACATATACATTTAAAATGTGATTGTAATTGTGGAACTGTTTGGGGCTGGTGGGGATGATAGGGATGAATAATATCAAAAGTACATTGTGTCTATGTATGAAGATGGCATAAGGAAACCCACTAAAAGCTGTTGAAAATGGAGAGAGGTGTTTCAGAGAAGAGAGCAGAAGAGGGGTGGAATCTGATCAAAGTACAATATATGCACGTGTGAAGTACCACCGTGACATCCTGCATACAGATAATATACAGTGATAAAAATGTTTTTTAAAAACTCCTGCAATGCTTTGCAGTGTTTACAATATTTCCACCACTATAAAATTTTAAATTTACAACTGAACTTGCAGATGGTTGAACAAGTTACTGAATCTTGAGCTCTGTGTATTTCTTGAGCTTGTCAGAAGTGAGCAGTACCACAGAATTGTGTGAACTGACCACTAGCCATGAATTTGACCTTATTAAAAAACTTTTTCGGAAAAGAAGTACTGAAGTATAAATAGTATAGATTGTGGGTTTTGGGTTGTTACCTTCCTCTCTGTTTCTACCTATTATGCATCACAAAAATCGTTACGTGAATTAGTTCACAGTCCATAATTTCATTAAAGAAATTATAATATTTAGCTACTGTGAGTCTCTAGCAGAGTCAGCACTGATATTAACAACAGGGTTGTTCTATCACTTAGATGTTTTCAATCCTTATGTAAAAAGTGAATACTTAGATACTACTTTTATAGTATACAGTGGTGATCACGTTAAGAACATGGTAGCTCACACTTATAATCCCAGCTACTTGGGAAGTTTCGGTTCAGCCTAGACAAAAACTTAGACCACATCCCAACCAACAAGCTGGGCATAGTAGTATGCACTTGTGACCCCAACTACATGGGAAGTTGTAAGCAGGAGGATCCTGGTCTGAGGCTGGAACCCAGCAAAAACATAAGACCCTGCCTGAAAAATAACTAAAGCAAAAGAAGTGCAAGACTCTGAGTTCAAACTTCAGTACTAACTGCCAAATTAAAAAGGACAAAAAACTATATGCTGATTCAAATATATATTTAAAGTAGTTCACATATGTACCATATAAGTTTTGTGTTTAAGAAATGTTTAATTTTTATATAATTCCAATTTTAAATAAAAGCATAAAATTTTTAGAATAGTCAGGATTTCAAGATTGAAAGAGTGTTGCTGACCACTTAAGTATGGTTTTATGGTTCAGGATTTACTCTGTATACTAAATATATCTCTATTCTACTCAGTGGTTATATATTTAATTTAGGAAAATGAATTAATTTTTATGAATAAAGGTTGTGGCAGATACTCAGGATGTTTCATAACCCTTTTCAGTGTATTCTAATATCTTCTACTTTCTAGAGATAGAAAAATAAATCTTGGAAAATCTCAGTGTTAAAAATTGAGATAGAAAAATAAATCTTGGGAAATCTCAGTGTCAGAAATTATAATTGGCAAGAAAAATGCTTCAGATAAACACTTCCAACTGTGCATTCACTGTTTTAAAACTGATCTCTAGAACTCTAAATTTTGACTAAACTTGTACTTTATTTCTTATGACTTCTTTAGTATGAAAGAAAGTTCAAATGTGTAAAACACAGGTACAAATATTTTTTGCTTCTTCTGTATAAATACAAGCTTTAATTTTACCTTGCCAATCAAATCTTATTTGGAACTCCATAGATAAATTCCTAGAGAGTTATTTAGTGTGCCCATTTATAGAGATTTTAATATCTTGTGCCAGTTATGGTCATGCATACTTTTAATCCCAGCACTTGGGAGATAGAGGCAGGCCACCTAGGTTTTAAGTGAGACCCTGTCTCAAAAATAAATAAATAAATAAACTTGGCTGCATTTTTGTATATAGCAATTAGTCAATAACTTAGTGACCCCGAGTTTGTATTGTGTTCAATAGAAGTTTACTAACATTGCAGTAAATACCACCCATAACTGAAAACTTTTTGATGTTAAACTACTTAGTATACATATTGGAATACATCTAGCATTTATTTTCACAACCTCATTCAAAACCCATCTGAAGATTCACACCTCAGAGAATTCAGCATGATTCACCCCTATGCCATTCTGGGGTTTATTTTTTGTTTTGTTTTGGTTTTTTCCATTCTTAATTCCTCTTGTGTGTCTACTCCAACAGCAGCACTTTGATGGTTTTACTTTCTAATGTTTGCAAATGTCTATGGACGATCACCAGTTAGACTGAAAGTTCTTTAAATACCAAGGACTGGACTGGACATGTGGCTCAAGTGGTAGAGTGCCTGCTTTGCAAGCATGAAGCTCTGAGTTCAAACTCCGGTCTCACCAAAAAAAAAAAAAAGTAGAAAACCAAGGACTTTTTTTTAAGTTTTTATTGTCGTAGTCCCTAGGATACTGTAAATCACAATGTTGTTGTCTAGGCTCCTCATGGATTTGGGAGCCAGGCTAACATGGTGGGCAAGCATCGTCACATTGGAAAGAAGGTAGAGGGCAGTGCAAGGGAAAGGGGCAGCATCTACTCAGTGATCCATAATTATTCTTCCCCTCTCCAGCCCCAACCTTTCAGGCTTCTACTAGCACTAATGTAATCTTGTCATCATACTTTCCCCACCCACCAGCCACTATGCAAAGGTCTTCCCTCCTGTGGATGTCTTCACTCTTCATTTTAATCAGACTTATATTTAATTCTGTTCAAGGAATGAGCAAGTGAAGCAAGGACCCAGATAGTGCAATTGTCAGTGGACCCTCATTCCTTGCACATGGATATAACTTTTATGGAACTACAATACTCAGTGGGTATTCAATAAGTAGTATTAATGGACGCATGGAAAATCTGAAGAAGTAAAACAAAACTAAAACATTTATGTTGACACTGAAAATACTGAGGTTTTTGAACAGAAAAGTCATGTTCTGCAATTGTGTTGGCCTTAAACTAATATAGGACCAAATTGTCCATAAGTTTTGTGAGATGCATATGGAAGAAAACTGTTGGAAGTAGATCAAATGACCTGAGGCTGAGGAATACTTTGAAAGTGTTTTGTTCAACAGTCTATAGAATATTCAACATGAACTAATTTTTAAACATCTATTGTGAGTAGATCCTTGCTTATCATATTAGCTATAGGGTTTTGAGTGCTAATTTTAAGAACTCTTATGGAAAGACATTATGTTTATATGATATTGGGAAATGTAAGTCATTGAACTTCTTCTATTATTTCCCATAGCTCTGCAAGTGAATCTGGTTCACAAAGCACTTGTGATCAACTTGTAACTCCAACAGCCCTGGCTGCCTGTACCAGAGTTGACTCCTGCTTTACCCCATGGTTTGTCCCATCTCTTTCCATGTCCTTCCAGTTTGCTCACCTGGAGTTCCATCTTTGTCATCACCTTGATCAACTAGGCACAGGTACTCTTTACTTTAGTATCATCACTGTAATGTCCACTTACTGCTGTTTTCTCTTAAGTGTTCTCAAGATTCACAATTCATCAGGTTTTAGCAGCTAATTTATTTTCAGGAAGTGTGAAGTCAGTACTGGCAAAGTTATTTTGAAGTTGGCCTGCTATAATCAGTGTGCCCCCTTGCTTTTGAGTTGGTAACCTATAAGTTACCAATGGTATTGAGCTGACATGTTTTGGCATACTTCCTAATGAAAATTTTCAGGGAAGTTACAAAAACCACAGGTTTTGCTATTATTCCAATTAGATCTTTCTGTAAGAAATACACTCTTGTTCCGTAACCTAAGCCATTACATTAGTGACAAATAAATTCTAAAAGCACTTGATATTGCCTGATTTCAAAAGCCTGAATGTCCTTTGCAAAAGATGGGCACATTCTCAAATTAATTTAAAGGAGTGACATCTATACAAGTTTAGAAAGATGATTAAATTACCCCATACACCAAAGATTGTGTTTTATAATGTTACTTCAGTGATTATTTTTAAGGCATTATATCTGTACCACATCTTTTCAGAATGTTAATAAATTTTGATTTGATTTAGATATTATACTTTCAACCTATATATAATGGAAAAAATAAATAAAAATCAGATTAAAACCAACTGTAGCTACTGTTAAACATCTTGCCTTTTCAGCAAAAAACAGTTTAACCCTTTTCTAACTTTCTCTGAATCACTTTGTTGTTTTTGAGATTTGTTGGTAGATACAGAAATTTAGATAGTTGCCTCCTGTTTTATTTGTTGTCCGCTTATGGTCACATTTTTTGTCTATGAAAGTGAAAGTAACCCTTGAACAATATACATCTAAGAGACTAGATTGAACAAAACAATTTATTTGAAAATATTAAATTGCAACTTAAAGAGTTTAATATCTTCAAGACAGTGTTTGAATTTATTAAACACCAAATATAAAATTCAGCAGCAAAAAGCAAATTATTTAAATGTCATCTTACTTATTTCCACAAAGTTTTGGCTCATCTTAATTGTTTTTTTTACTTGTTTTTTTCCTCAACAGCTTCACCACAATACCTACAGCCATTCATTTCTGATAAAAATGTGCCATCTGAACTAGAATACATGATCATTTCCTTCAGAGAACCACATGTGTATCTTCAACAGTGGAATAATGATTCCGTCTGCCAGGAAATTCGGTTCTCAGCTCAAATGGACTGTAAGCTTCTAGAGTGCAGAAATGTTACAATGCAAAGTGTGGTGAAACCCTTCAGCATCTTTGGACAGATTGCAGTTTCCAGTGATGCAATGGAAAAGATGCTTGACTGCACCCTGAGAGTGGACTCCCTGTTTGTAAACTTTGGACAGCATGTAGTTCATTCTCTCAGCACTGCAATACAAGCTTGGCAACAGGTACGTACATTCCAGAACAGTTTGGCTGCACATGATCTTTTATTAGGTACTGTATGATAGTACTTTTAATTGTAAGTTAAGTACAAACAAAAATGTGAGAGAATAAAGAATTTGATGGGCACCATAATATCTGGGGCTTCTCTGTTTTGGTAATGTGATATATGTATTATTTAAGAACTTGGGAGAATATGGGTTCTACTGTATACACACATCAGAAATCATGTCTACATTTTTATGACTAATATACCACATCTGTGTAGAAAGTAACATATTCTCAGAAATTTTTTCGCAGTACTATTACTTTAGTTTGCTAAAATTTCAACTTAGCTATGTACTGAGTGTCCATCACAGAAATGAAGAACATATATGAGCCTTTCTGACAAGCATTCCAGTTTCTCAAACAAAAAAAAGCACTGAGATGGAATCTGTGAGCACAGTATAGTCTTAGTCCTTTCCTTTACTATCATTCTGCTGTTTTGATTCACTAAAAAAAACTGGATAATACATTTTTAGGATCAGTAAGATACTCTTGTTCACTTAAAATAATTTTTCACTTATATCATTTAGGAAACATGCATGTCCAAAAAAAGAGATGAAGTAGCTAGGCACAGTGGCTTATGACTATAATCCTTGCTATTTGAGAGACTGAGAATGGGAGAATTGTGATTGGAGTCCAGCCATGGCATAAAAGTTCTTAAGACCCCATCTCTATCAATAGCTGGGTGTGGTGATGTGCACCTGTCATCCCAACTACTGGCAAAAAGTATAATTAGGAGGATTACAGTACAAGCTATCTAAAAAGCTTGCAAGCTAAAAGACACCCTTTCTCAAAAATAGAACAAAAAGGGCTGAAGGCAGGCTCAGGTGGTTGAGCACCTACCTAGCAAGTGCCAAACTCTGAGTTCAACCTCTAGTACCTCAGAGAGAGAGAGAGAGAGAGAGAGAGAAAGGAAAGTCTGTGCTAAATGAGAAACCTGTTCATGTCTACTAGCATGGAAATAATTTCACAGAATGTTTGTATAATAATATGTTCAGCAATTTAGCAACTAATCACAACTTTTTCTGTTCTGGTTTTCAATGTTTCCTTGGTTTGGTTGCTAGTTAAGCCAGAGACACTTCCCCACATTTCACAGACACTTGTGTAGGGATTGCTCCCCAGCAGAAATGGGCCTTCCTCCTACCCTGACCTCAATCAGGATGGCACTAGAGGGTATGGGGAGGGGCTCTAGTTCTCTAACAGAAATTTTTGTGGGAATAAACAAAAGATTTTGGGGAAAATTTTTATGAGAATAATTTAAGAATTTTATGGAAATTTTATGAAAAAAATAATTCTAAAACAGAATTTTTAGTTCTCTAACCTAAGAATTTTTATGGGAATTAAATTTTATGGAAATAAAATTTAATGTTTTCTTTACATGCATGAAGACCTATACAAGACTAAGGAATTAATTGCCTAACATGGTACTATAATAGCAAAGGGAAAGAAGATAACACATCTGTTTTATATTTTAAAAATCTTTTTTAAGGACATTCCACGGTTTTCTTGTTGCAAAGGACATGCGTAAAATAAGAGCTAGTGTGATCTAAATCTTTGCAGCTGGTTCAAATAGCAATGTGAAAAAAAAAAAAAACCTCCATGGCTTCCATTTGTTTTTTTTGTCATATTTTGAACAATGCATTTAATAAAAAACAAACCTAGAAAATGTAAAAGAATCATTGATGGAGCATTTAAACCAAGAATATTTTTGTGTTTGTATCAGCCATTATAAGACAACTCATATGTAGCAACTACTGCAAAATGGCCTTCAGGAATATTGGTTTCCTTTAAGGGTAAAAATATTCTTTTAGACACAGTTATACATATAAGTAAAATATGGTGCATAAATATTTAAATGTTTTAAACCACATCAGAGTGTGAATGAATGACTGGCTTACACAATGCCTTAAAGAAATATTCTGATTTTTTTTTAAGAAATTGTATATTTGGTTAAGTAGAGCCATATGTCACATAGCATATTGCTGACAGGTACATTCTATGAATAGTTGGTTCTGATTTATACTGGGATTTGGCAATGTTAACATGAGCCACAAGAGGATATACTTCTGTAATTGTTGCTGTAATTTTCTTGTTTCCTCCCATGTCAGCGGTACTTGCCACCAAGCTTTAATGTAGTAGGCATCTAATCCTGTGTGTTCCAAAGTAAATATGAAAGTGTGCTGCTTTGACATTATAGGACATTTGACATTGCAATGGGTTTATAGAGCCTTATTAAATTCATTGTTTCTAAGATGTTCTGAATGTAGTTTATCCTCTTTAGTTCCCCAAATTTGAATTTTATTATGTGTATAAGGCTTACATGTGGTACAATTGTTGCCAGTGAGAAAAATGAACTTAATAAACAGGATAAGTATTTTCCACATAGTTTTTGTCAGATTCATATCAGAGACTAATCATTTTTACCCAGTGTAGATGGAACAGACAGTTAAGGCATGAAACAATTTGACCTTTCATCATTAGGTCATGAGTTGAAAATTAGCAGAAGTCTTCATCAGTGTCTGATTTCTATGGCTATAGATTTTTTTCTCTTTTATAAATGATGACTGTTTTGTGAAACCAGATTAGGGACCCAAAATGCCACTTTCAGTTTGTTTTATATTCCTATTTCACTTTCCCATATTTGTACCAAAAACATTTAAAACATTTAAAGGGGATTTCTTTTTAAATCAGTTATACTCATATGTCTTCTCTGACACCAAAACAGTATCTCTGCTGAATTGCAAATGCCTGTGCAATATGCTTTTGAACTCATGACCATTGAATAAAAACCACAGCAGAGAGCATTACAGTAGACAACAGGTAATTGTTGTTTATAAGTGCTTTGGTCTCAGACAGATTCTCTTTGGTGATTAGCTGATCCTTAGTCAAGCAAGGATCAGCTCTTTAAGAATTAAGAGGTTTGGTAAGAATGGATGGATGATAGAGAAAGGATTCGGAAGTCCTTGAGGGCCTCTGGAAGGAGGCCACCTACAAGGACCTTTTTACTACCTGCAGCCATAAAGCATGGCCCTCCTAGTCAGGGGTATTCTATAGGTCTAAGAGTGAATTCTATTTCCCAAAAGACCCTGTTCCCTGATGAGTTCCAAGTCTGGTCTCCATCCTGGTACATTCATCCATAGACTCTTTGGCATCATGCCTCCTATCTCTTGGAATCCCCTTGAATCTCCATGCTTCTGAGTTGTAGCGCCTTTTGCTCTACTTCCCCTTGATAAAATGGCAAACTATAGAGTATGGCATTGTGGCATTCTTTAGATCCACAGCCAGGAAATAGAGACCAACTGGAGAAGTATCTACTGCATATTCTCTGGAAATTAATTATGATTTTTTTCTGATATCTTCAAGTTGATGATTTATTTGGTTTACCAAAAGCATGATCATTGCTTTTTAGGTCATAACCTAACCAGAGTGATGAAAGTGTAAGCACAGAAATACGGTATTACTTTGCCAGTGTTTTGCTGTAAGAGCAGCAAACACAGACCCAGTTAAATTAAGAAAGAGCTATCAACACAGGAACATATTACTTATTTGCTGAGCCTTAACTGATTAATGAAGGATGTTAGCTATTTGATGACCATTAGCTGAAACAGGTATTGGAAACTGTTTTTCAACTAACTACTCACTCTCAAAAACTGCAACTAGGCTTAAACTAATTTTGAGTTGATTTGTGTGTTCAATCTCTTGACGATAGAGAGAAAGTTATGGTTTTATTTACATTTCTCCCTGAGAGATTTACACGCACACACACGCACACACACACACACACCCTTACGGGATCTAGAGATGTATTACCTAAATGATCCTTACTTTCTCTAGGGTACAAACTGTGGCTTTGGTAATTGGTCTTGATTGTGGAGCTTAGAGGGCCAGGAACATGGTAATTCTAGCCTCTAGTACTTTGTTCAAAAACATGCACTACCCAGTACAGCACTCTTTGTAGCATGTTAATTCATTTTAAGAAATGTTAAAAGTTTTTGGGATCTTTTTGTTCTTTTGCTCTTCTGTGCATATGATTTATTTTTTAGGAGTATAAATCAAAACACATTCTTGGAACATTTATGATCTTTTAAAGGTATTTTTTGTGCTTATCCTAGAAGTATAGAATGCTTTGTATACCAGAACTAATGACAACAGATCCTTTAGGGTTTCTGTGTTATAACAATGGCCACTGGGCAGACAGCTGCCAAACATCTTGCAATTAATCTGATACACGTTGGCTTTCATGTTCTTTTTCTTTCAGAACAAATGCCCTGAGGTAGAGGAGTTGGTCTTCAGCCACTTTGTGATCTGTAATGACACACAGGAGACACTGCGGTTTGGCCAGGTGGATACTGATGAAAATATCCTGCTGGCGAGTCTCCATAGTCACCAGTACAGCTGGCGCTCCCACAAATCCCCACAGGTATTTGAGAAACAGCCTTACAAACACAGCAATTGTTAAGGTTGGAGATTCATTTATTCTGCATTTGTGTGCCTGTGTCCAGTTATTTCCCTGTTTAAGTCTCCCAAGGAACCCCACCATATAGCTACATCTTACGGAAACCCAGAAATTTTCAGAGGTTGGGCACAGGGCATCCATGCTTCCTCTAAAGTCAAACTTTTCCTGCTGAGCATGGCTGCTGGTGGAGGAGCAGGATGTGGTGGAAGAGATTGGACTTGAGAGCCAAAGCATGTAGATCTAGATCCTGGCTCTGTAGAACCTTACTTTACTTTTTGTGCTCCATCTTTTGCAAATGCAAAATGGAGATAAAAATAGTACCTGTTCCATAGGGTTGTGAGAACTAAGTGAGCTAATACACATATGGCACTAGATTAGTGCTTGGTATACAGTAAGCACTATGTGTTGGACACCATTTTCCATGTGTTTATCCAGATTTCTTCTGTGTAGGTACCCTGTACCAGGTACATGCCAGGCACTGGGGATGCAAAGCAGAGAAGTCATAGTCTATGACTCTTTCATGCTCACAATCTGTAATGCACTGAACACAATGACAAGCTGTGCCCAAGGGAGCACTGAGAAAAGACATACAAAGGATGTCTGTTTTCCAAGTAGTATAATTCCATTTTCCTGTTGCTTTAGATGGGAATAATTAGAGAGATGTGCCCTGCAGGGATAATATAAGGATAAATTAAATACAAAGATGCGGTCTTAAATGAGTGAAAGAAATCCTAGGAAGCACTCTCAAGAATAATGTATTTCCAAAACTCTGGATAATAAGGAAACAACTGTCTGCTTGTGATTAAAAGAAAGTCATTAGATTAGAAAGCAAGTTTTCCCATGTGGTCTATAGACCAGCTTCAGAACATGTTATACCCCGAGGCTCCATCTTCCTTCTTTTTTTTTTTTTTTCCCCTCCCTCAGTAGCTAGACTCTGGTTTCTTACATATTTTTTCATCAAAATGCTGTGCTCTTGTGTGGCATTTTAGAAAAGTACATATAGTATTATATTTCTTATTTAAATATATTTATTTAATTCAAATTAATCTGGCAGGACATGAAAATTACATAAATTAATTTTAATAAAAATTCTTACAAAAATTTCTCACACAATGTGATATTGTATGCATATTTTTAGGGTGAATCACATGCCCTTATCTTTTAATTTTCCTCTTGAAATTTTTCATGGTAGAGAGTTTTTAAGTTATTTCCCCATAGTTAAAGGATTTTGTAGGGTTTTGTTTCAAAATCAAATTTCTTTTGGTTACGTTCTTCTAGTTGATGGCAAAAGTGAAAGCATACTGATATATGGACAAAACAAAACACTGACACATTTATAATTTCAAACAAGTTAACACTGATTGTGTAGCTTTGTAAATCTAACTGACACATTTATAATTTCAAACAAGTTAACACTGATTGTGTAGCTTTGTAAATCTAACTGTTAGTGGCAGAAAGAAGCCTTAGAGGAGCTGCAACAATATGTAACTATACACTATACCTGCAGCCAGTTTTCCTATATATGCATAGCAAACTGTAGGCCTTAGCCAACAAAAAGCAAAGCAGAGAAAACAACTCTCTACACAGTCATGTGAAGATGCATGGCCTTCAGGATTCCCTGGACACAGGAGCCAGGATGGGAAGAGTGATCATAGAGCAGCTGGCCCAGAAGTATGAAGACATACAGTTTCTGGGTGGGGAAACTGTCACCTTTCATATTCTGCACATTTTTCAAGACTTTTTGTATTTATTACAAAAAATCATTGAATTAGTTTTATTTTGACAATATCCCTGTGTATTTTGTTGTTACACATACTTTATAGATGTGAAAACCTACCTTTTAATTCTGAATATATATAGTATTATTTCTACAGTATTTACTCCCTGGTTTTGGCAGCATGATTTGTCTGTTAGAACAATCCAGCTAGAGGTTTTTACAAGGGCAGCTGAGAAATCTCTGATACAGTAGAACCATGTAAGTCTAAAGCTAGAGTAATATGGGATTCTTAGTCCAAGTATAACCCTTGCAAAACCTTAACGGTATTACTAAAAACAATAAAAATCTTTTAATGACAAAATAGAAACATAAGACAGGTATTTCTTCAACTGTTTTTTTTTATTTGTAACTGCATACTTTGAATGCAGATTTTAAGCTGAGCCAGTTATTATAATCTTTCAGCTAAAATTTAGATCAAATTTATAGAAAAATGTGTCTTTACTGTATCTGTATATGTTGATGTAAGTGTATTTTAAGACACTCTTAAGCCAGAGGACTTAATGAGTCCAGAGAGTCTTCATGGAATTCCTCATATCCAAAATTGCAAATTCTCCTATGTCCTAATGAAAGGTTTAATGTGAGAATCAGAAAAACTAGCCATTTAGCTTCAAGCTGCACCTGGAGTTAGTCATAGATACACAAGTGAGGAAAATGTTCCTTTTTCCAGATGCCCAGCAAGCCTGGTTTTAGGAACATTTGTGTCTGCATGTTTATGCTACTTTGGGTGTTAGTCAATTCATAGTCTCAGGGAGGATTTCTAAAGTTCATAGAACTTAACTCCACTGAACAATGTAGTTTATATTGTAGAGATCAAGAAAGTGGCATCTGGAAAGGTTTCAAAGAGGTCAGGAAATCTTAGAACCACACAGGAAGTTGCTAACAACATTAAGTCCCGGTAGGATGGGAAGAAACATGGACACAACCAATTCTAGAAACTCAAAGCTGAGAAACCTTTTAGTACTAAGAAATCATAAATCCTCCTTATACTTTCTAACACATGCTTTGAGGCAGAATCACTTAAAATGCTGGATATTCCACAACAATTTCTTGCCTAAACAAACAAAAGAAGAACGAAACTATTTCTCAGGGAATAATTGAACATGTTCAGCTGCACAGAATCATAGATGCCACCACAAAGGACAGTTAAACATCCCAGTTCAGTAGACTTCAGCTCATGTTGAATGACAACAATAACCAGCAAGGGGTTGGTCTTCAGAGAAGTGCTTCACATTATGCAGAGTTGAATCTAGGCACTGATAGTGTGAATTTATGAAATCTTCTCTCAGAATATAAGCAGTATATGTAACTCAGGGTTAAGGACAGTTTTGTTTGATTTGGTCAAACCACATAAATAGTGACACCTCCATCAACTACATAGGATTTGCATATGGTCTATTGAAGTTAACTTCCTTTTCTGGTTACTAGAGGACACTGTTGGTTAATTAAACTGCTCTTGAAATAAGAATTCCTGTATCTTGTATGTAAGCATTTACACTTGCTTTTTATCTTCAGGCATGCACAATTTATAAAAAAAACATTATACAATTCTGAAATGCCTTTTCAGAATTCTAGAATTCTAATTACCAATGATTTAATTTTAGTAATTTTATCATTAGACAAGGTAGAAGTAGACACTAGATAGAGTATATAAAGTAATAAAATCTGTCTCTAAAATGAATATAAAAGTAGTTTAATAAGTTCATGAAAATGGCAGTTGTAAAGATACAAAATGTGCCTAGGTAAGAATTAATTTTGATGAGCAGCAGAGCATCATTGAAAAATGCATTAAACAGGCATAGTGACAATATAAAGCCTACATTATTTTAAGATAGAGGTTGGCAAACTTTTTATGTAGAGGGCCAGATAGAAAATGTTGTAAGCTTTCAAAGTATTACAATCTCTGTTGCAGCTACTCAACTCTGTACAGAAGCAGTCATAGTGATAAATAAAAGAATGAATGTGGATGCATTCTAATGAAACTACATTTATTTGAATTTCATTCCACTTTCACACAAGATGAAATTTTTTTCAACCATTAAAATATAAAAACCATTCATAATTCATAAGTTATCCAAAAGTAGGCAGCATGCCAAATTTGGCCCGTGAGTCCAAGTGTGCCAACCCTTGCTTTAGGGTCTTTCATTTGATATGTTTCTGTAGGTTAAAGGTTTGATTTAAAGTTATTTTCACTCTGACTTATATGGTATTCCTACCATTTGAAAGCTTGGTAAAACATTTCAAAAACTGAGAAACGTCAGGTAATAGTTTAAATCTAACTCATCTAATATACCCATACTTACCAAATAACAGTAAAATGCTTTTGTTATTCTCATTCTGGACCTAGTCAGTGTATACACTTTTGAAAGTTTCTCCCTTTCTCTTTTTGGATGTAAAAATATTTTTAAGTGAGATCTGGTTATTTGTCCAAAAGAGAAAGCAGTGAGTTTTAATATAGGCCTATCTTGTAATTCCAGTCAATTGGCAATTTCCTTAACTAGACTGTAACTCTTACTCAGTTACCACTTTTCCAGTTCCGTTCATATAATGCATGTGTACACATATATCTAGAGAAAGAGCACATTCATTATTATCACAGTCATAATTTAAAAACTAAAAAAGCAGATTTTGGGGGCAAGGAAAGATTCTGTGTTGGCAAACCTGATAAATTTTTCAACTATTCTCTTGTGCATACAAACATGTTAAAGTTTGCTTTTGTTCTGCTGTTTTTGTTTGTTTGCTTGTTTGTGGATATTATGAAGTTTGTTCAGAAATAGCAAATGAATAAGTACTCTTACATACTGAAGTTACAAATGGAAATGGTACTTCCTTTCTAGAAAGCAACTGGGTAAGAAATTTCATAGCTATTAAAGCAATCATAGACTTTGGACCCAATAAATCTTCTACTATGAATCTATTCTACACTAAAGAAAAGATTTATATATAAAATGTTTATCAATTTTCTTTATAGTAGAAAAATTTATATCAAAATTTCACTTTTAAGGAACTAGTTAAGTAAACTCTGCCATAGCTATGATCTTTAAATTTTTTACATAGAAAAGGGAAGTGCTACCATATCATTAGTCAGGAAGGCAGAATATAAAAATTCTGTATATACAATATGACCTTCACAATATAAGAGCAAATACACCAAAAATACTGGAAAGAGACATGTCACAGTGCAGTGTTT